CACATATTATTGGACCTGATATCTGGTATTACCCGAAGCCACTCACCTTCGCTCGACTTTCCTACATTATGGCACAAAATGAAGAGTGTTTAAATGAGGCGACCTTTATTAAAATCAAAATATGTGACCAATTTTCAAAACAAAACTCGAATACTTTGTTCGAATTACAAGTTAAAGACTATGGTTGGATGTGTTTATAGCTAAGTGGTTGGCGTTTTGGACTTTGGTGCGAGAGGAAGGCATCACATTTTCGGCATATTTTAGCTATTGATAATTGATTTATATTAATTGATCGACGTAAGATAAAAATTAGGGGTCCAAATAAGTAGTAATTTTAACGTGTCAGTAAGCATATGTTATTGACCTTTGCACTAATAGGCCTACAGTCAGCATCTTAGATTTTGCCGTGCCTGACTACATTTCTTAATTCAATAGTTCAAATTCATAAAAGCTAATTTACAAATAACATAATGACCGGAAATAGATTTATCACAGTATTGATTATAAGCGTTTTTAAGTTTTGTGCCTCTTTTGCCACGTATTGTAATATAATAATTCTACAAAAAAATGGATACATTAGCGACAAAAAATCTGCTAGTTTTGGCCTAACAAGCCATTTTGCATTTTAAAATGTATGTTTATGTAGTTTAATTTACTATAGTTAATACAGTTGAATGGGTGTGCCACAGTTGATAGTATAAATTGGATGTTACATAGCAGATACTACAGTTTGGCTTGTGGAGGGAATCTCCAGGCTCACATTGGTCTGTTTACCGCCGCGCCGCGCCACGTCATCACTCAGCTTCCAGGTTACATCCGCAAATAAAGTAAATTCCATTAAGTGGTCGTAAATACAGCTTTCCGCAGTCGGACCGAAATGGAGCGGGTCTATGACCGTGGGAGGCGATCTGTCGCTCTCTGCAACTCCTGATTACCCGCATCAGAGGATTTACCACCGGTCCATATTTATCACGGTGTCAGGCAGAATTGGGCTTTTCATAATTTACATACGCTTTGCATGTTCTACTTCGTCTGCAAAGACGTGGTTAATTCAAAGTCACCGATTTGAAAACTGCGGATTTGCGGGTTGAAATCGTATAATCCGACGAGCCTATCCGAACTACTGGATTTGTTGACTCACCTGACAATCAACGGTGTTTCTGGGGCGAATGCAGAACACGCTGCATCGGCCACCCAGATATTATCGTCCGTCGCGGCCAAGTATGTTGGTGTGAGCGACAAGCGTTATATGTGTAACCCATCTCTAATTGGAAGAAGCCCGGGCCTGTTCCACCGCTTCCATCTACATTATGGAGCTGGTAGGCCCATTGATTCCTCGGTCCCTCATTAACCGTAGAAACGTGTACTCCACCGGTCCAATGTAGATCTTCAGCTCGCTACGTTCTGCTCACACAAGTCTAAATTTACAGGTCCTCGTAATATTAAACTAACAGTGGGTTTAGAAAGCTTGGTATGCGAACAGTAAAAAAAAACATTTAACCTGTAGAGGTTATGCTCTACCCCGGCCTGAACACTGTACACGATTCAACTTTTTTGCTAATTGTTGGAATTTTAATAATCCGGCTGAACAAGTTTTAATTTGATACTATTGTGCGAATTATGCACACGCTGAATATCAAAAATAATTAAATTACATTTGTAAATACTGTGTGATTTTCAAAATTATTCCATATAAAATGTGATAACCAATTCCATGGGTACAATCAATTAATGCATTAATTGTTTTTCAAATCTCGAAATTTTAATGTCACATGGCAGCTAGTGATTTAAATGGCATTTCGGTACTGTCTTATAATTATAAGTTATGATGTTCCTCTTTCAGCATGATAGCAAACATTTTTCAAATGGTAAAAAATAACGTTGTTATCTTAAAAAATTAACAGTGATATGCTTTCACCCGCTTAAATGTGTTTATGCTAATTTTCTATCTATTTACATACCTTATACTTATGTCAAGGCATAGTAAAATTGAGGTTCTAAATAGTAATTGATAAATTTATTTGTAAATAATCGTACGTGACACTTGTCTTTTACTAATGGTAGATAAAATATATTATACAAATAAAATACGGTAAAATAATAATACATACAACAGTTTTTCCACTCCTAACCCTCATTTTTTTTTAATTTGACCTAAGTAAGTAAGCTGTAAATTTTCTGCAATATAAAGTAAGATATTCGATAGAAGCGTTCTTTCCTCGATTCGAATAACATTGTACTGTATACTACATCCACACACATCAGGCTCACTATTATGTACTTGTGTACTTGTTATTGCACAGACAGAGTAGGCCTTAGGAGCCCAGTAGAACTCTCGTGGTCAGAAAGTGGCAGAAGGGGAAATGTTGTTTTGATTCTTACAAGTTTGTATAATAGAGCGAGGGGTTTTGCCGGGCCTTCCTTCCGGCTCCTTGTCATCTCCCCTTCCCTTTCCACCCGCGTTTACCACAACCAAAAATGTGCCACTAATTTATTTGATAACAATTTTGTTTATACAATTTAGAGTTGAGTGATATGTGATGGAAATACGGTAATGTTTTGTAATACCCACTAAAAAGCACATACTCTTCGGTAGGAAAGCGTGTTAAATATTATTGGGTGTTCAACTATTGGAATAGGCGTAATATATGATTTTTGTGAAATTTCTCGACTAAGTTCTTTGAATCACTCGAGGAATATTTAGAATGACAATGTCACTCAAACTAAGAGTTCTCCGTTACAACCATTTTAAATGTCAAGTTCCTTGAAATATAGATTTCACCAGGAGATTTACCTGGTATTTTTTTTTTACTGTACGCATCTTTACATAGTTCTTTACATACAGTGTTATATTACTAAAATACATATGGTTGCATGAAGCCATTCAATTAATATTTAATTTCAAATCACTCACCTATCGTTGGTTGCAGAGTTATTAGGTTCATGCATGTTTCATCACAATTAAATATTATAAAGGGGTTGAAAAAAATATTCATATAATATAATAGTAGGTATCGGTACAATACTTCGGAACTCATTCTAAATAAACGTTAAACTCATATAAGTTAAATATGTATTAATCTTTTGCCAAGTACACCTACAAAGTTGACCAAGTTATATCCGTTCATGGTAAATCCACAGTAAGGTTCGAATCCTCCGGGAGGATACTGAGCGACTAAGGCGGAGGTAAGGTTCCCTCACCGACAAATCAAGTGGACGTGCTACAGATTGACGTTTAGTGGTTACGGAGAGAGAAATTAACTCCCAGCTGATTTATACCCACATCCCCCGAGAGCTCTCGACCCCTATCATTTAAATGTTAATTTTCCCCGTTCTGAGGTCGGTAGGCTACTTCAAAAAAGCTGAAAACGCGGCTATTAATTTTTTTCACTGCGAAGATCCACCCCGTCCTCAGGCATTGCGGGGTGGTGTGGCCGTGCGGGCGCCTCTAAAGGCCAGCGTGATCGATGACTTCTCTTCCTTTTCCTTCCCATAACTACCCTGTGATACCGTCTCAGGCCAACTAGAGGTCGTTAAGATCGACAAGTTAAAGAATTTGTTGGGGGACACGTGCTAGACCGGACTTTGTAATTGTAAATAAATCTCTAACCCGCATCACATAGTGCAAACATGACCGATCTTACACGACTATTTAGCAACTAATCTATTTAAACCGAGAAAACATACCTGTGACATCACAGGTGTGGTTCTATGTTTATATTTTCTCTGCCGTAAAACTTCGTTAACTTTAACCGCTGAACAGGTTAACACCTTTTAGCAGTGGATATATAACAAAAATCAAAAGTCGTTATTATTTTATTAAGTTCAATAATGCATTACTCATTGTTACGAGCACCAAACAATGTAACAAGTCGTCGATGTTGTATCGTAGAAATGCACAGAGGAAACGATAAAGATGTCACTTGGCTGGCGAGTCAATTTGTGAACAAATGCAGCTGAAGAAGAAGAAACGGCTTGATTAGCTGAGTCGAGTGTTGATTTTATTTATTGCTACATTGTTCTGCGAATTTGTCCCCAGAAGACGGTGAACCGGTCGATAAATTACTGGAACTGTGGAGGGGCGGCGGACCACGGACCTTGGCGGCACACGCCACACTTGTGCCCGCGGGCGCAACGCATTAGTGCGCCACTGGGCGGCAAATTATAGGCTATTGGACGAGCCACTCCAGACGTTACTCCTGTTTGGACAATATTAGTTTTAACACTTGCCACCTTTTTATGAGGAGAAGGGAGAGAGCGATTATCTTCATCATTGTCCTCCGCAATGCTTCCACCTGTCAGTGTGTTAATCACACTAACCTCCTTGTAGTTCTTGCGCAACACACATCCTTTAGTCGGTCCTTGTCTTGCCAAACATCTGCCCATATTTGGCCTTCGTGAAGATACGCTAAATGCTGCCAGTGAGCCGGCAATGCAATTAGTCAAACTCACAATGTTTGGCGTTAACATGTAAAATGCATAGACCTACTCCGTACGAAATCGTATGATAGATAAATGCATACAGTTTACAGTTTTGACTCCCTATTTATTTTTTTCTTGTTTTCCAGGACACAGTTGATATAATCCAGAATTACACATTATTGTTTTAATGTACCAATTTTTACAATAATTTTATAGATAAAATATTGAAGAAAGGTCGTCGTCTGCGGGTGAGGAACCAATGATGCTGGCGACATTTCCTTTTTGTATGGCCATGGCAATTCTTTGAACTAGGTAGCTCCTCGCTTTATAGTCACCTGTTTTTTCAATTAGATTGCGGCCTATTTCATTTATCCAGTTCTTGCCTTCCTTGCACCATGGCCCAGCAGTTTCCACATAATCCAGATAATCCAGATGTAAATAGATCGTATACAGGACCAGTGACCTAGAAGTGGAAGCTTTGCCTTACATAGGCAAAGAATATGAGATCATCAATATTCACCTCTTTAATACTTAGTAATATATATTCTATAATTGAATCATGCCAATCTTTTTTTCAGAACGAAAAAGTAGAAGTGAAGCAAAAGTGGGCTTCGCGGTTGCTGGGGAAGCTACGGAAGGACATCACGCAAGAGTGCAGAGAGGACTTCGTACTAAGCATCACCGGCAAAAAGCCCGCCATGTGTGTCTTGTCCAATCCCGACCAGAAGGGCAAGATGAGGCGAATCGACTGCCTGCGTCAAGCAGACAAAGTAAGTGACTACTAGTATCATTTCATACTAGTGATTGAGACTCAGGACGGTTTCCCTTTAACAAATACATTATGTCTGTCGGCCATATTAGATGATTCTTTTTCATTCGAAGGTATTTTAAAATACTGGTAATATCCCTTGATAATGCTTATGACAATTGTAATACACATACTTTTATGATAGCACGGAAACTTGCTGATGATATCCATATATTTTCTAAGCAATTTTTTCTCTCGGTGTAAGCATAACTGATAACCGGAACCGCTAAAAGTGTTCCGATTCCAAACAGTACATGTTGTATACAGGCGAACAATTATCCAACTTCGCATGGTTAGTTTAGCAGACCTTACACGATCAATATTATTGACAATATGATATACTCAATAATACCGGGTGTTTTTATACATGAATATCGGGGTTTTAATGCTTTATAACGTTTATACTAATAAATTTACCGCTATAAATAACACATCAAATGAAAAATCAACGGCAGCCAAAAACTGCCTAAAATTTTTTTTTAAATAAACGTTTATTATGTAGACAATAGACATAGTAAACATTAATAAACGGTATCAGCATTCTGACACATACTTTCTCCCATTAGTTTGTCAACAACCTTTATCATGTGTAAGCGGTGAGAGTAAATATACGGAAATGGGATTTATACAATTTTGTTCACAATTTAAAGGACTACATACTAAATTTTTATCAAAATCTTTCGGGCCATTTTTGTGAAAATCGGATTTTTCCGTGATTTTATGGGGTTTTATGGGAAAATAACATAATTTACAATAACTTTTGAACCATAATTTTTACAGAAATGGGATTTGTACCATTTTGTTCAGAATATAAAGGACTATAACATACAAAATTTTTATCAAAATCGTTTTTGGGAAAATCCTATTTTTCCGCTTTTTTATGGGGTTTCATGGGAAAATTCCCATTAAAAATAAAAAAATTTAAAAAATGAAAAAAACTATCAAAATTTTAAGGGCTATAACATACTATGTTAAAATAAAACCGGATTTTTTTCTAAAATCCTATTTTTCGTTATTTTATGGAGTTTTTATGGGAAAATAACATAATTTACCATAACTTTTGAATCGTAATTTTTACAGAAATGGGATTTGTACCATTTTGTTCAGAATTTAAAGGGCCACAGCATACTACATTTTTATCAAAATCGTTCGGGCCATTTTCGAGAAAATCCGATTTTTCCGGTTTTTTATGGGTTTTTATGGAAAAATCCCCATTAAAAATCAAAATTTCAAAAAAATAAAAAAAACCCCTGGAGATACCATGGATTAGAACCTACATACCAAATTTCATCGAAATCGGACCACAGGTGTAGTCCCTAGCTCTGTACACATCCAGACACACACACACACAGACACACACACACACACACACACACAGACACACACACACACAGACATCACTTTGAAAACCACTTTTTTGGGTCCAGGGGGACCCAAAACGGATATATCCACTCAAAACTCAAACTCGAAAATTTTGACGAAAACAATACTTTCTCCATATACTATGGTATAGGGGGAGAAAGTAAAAATGGGGATTTTAATTTTTTTTTTTATTTTGAGGTTAGTTTTTGGCTACATTTATTGAATATTTTCGAGAAATGCATAATAGTAGATTGTAGGAAATTTTATTTTCTTTCGGAATATTACCTTCCACTTTGGTCGATTTCCTCACCATTTAAAAGTTATTTGCGAAAACATTAAGCAACCTCCAAATTTATAGTGGTGAAAAAAGTTGGAGATTTCTTTTTAACTTTGTACAATTAACTACCGGATCGATTATGTTAAATAATTTCGTTATAATAATCTTTGGAAGACATAAACTCTTTGTGTTATTTTTTCATTTGATGTTTTATTTATAGCGGTAGGTTTTTGTGTGCTAAACGTCTCGGGTTAGTTATTGTAAATTTAGTAGAATTTAGGTATAACCTAATTCCACAGAACACATAGGCGAAGTAGAGTGAAATAGTTATTTGTGTAACTAGGGGGCAAAGTGGCACTCGCCTGCGGCTCGTGCGTTAACATTGCTCTCGTGTGCAGCAAAGGCCTTTTGCACTCGTGTTACACATTATATTTTTCCTACAGTCACTATAAAGCATATAAATAATTAGTCTTTCAAACACTATACAACACGTTTTTAGGTTCAGCTGGCAACACAAATAGGTGCCCTAGAGAAAGTAGTACCCGGTCCGTATCACTCCGCTATTTTTCCTCGGCAAGAAATGTGCTCCGTGTTTTGAGAATATAGTTCCGTATGTTTTTGTAATTTTAAGTGGTTTCCGCACCTAAAAAAAAATGCTTTAAAGGTATATTCTTGTTTATTAAGATCGTAGGAATGTTTTAAAAACGTTTAAAAGAAAAATCCAGAAAGTTCAGAAATACCGAAACTATAAACACGAAATGACAGGTTAAATCGTAGTTATAATAGTCAATCAGCTGCTAATAGTATTATTATCTTTAAGTGTTGCCAACCTATTTCCAAGCGTACACGGATTTCGTGCATAATAGAACCACGCTGTTTTGTGTTGTTTCGTTGGAATCCTGATGTGCGGCAAAGTATAAACCGTACGACAAAGTATAAGCCGTACGGCAAAGTATAAATATGCAGCAATTAGCAGCTTTCTGTACTGTAAACAGTACAAGGAAGGCAATTTTGTCGGGTGACTGTAGGAAAAGTATATGTTCGACTTAGTTTGTTAGATAAGTACGTTTGTGATAGTTATCGTCCACGATGAAATACTACGAGATTTTGTATGTACACTCTTTATGCTGTATCTGTTTAGTCTGCAAATATTTGACCATCTATTTTGTCACACCTCAAAATTTTATAAAGTATAAAATCTCTCGATAAAATGCGGATGACCTGGATTAAATATGATACGCAATTTCATAGAAAGAGGGGTGTTTAGAAAACAGGTGATCAATATCTTTCCTAAGAGAGTTGCCGTGCTTTTTTATGACGGGTTAGTAAATGCAACTATACTCTCGGACTGTGAAGACATTTTTCTATCTTTGGCAGAATTTCATCAACGTTAAAAAAACCCCCGGAGAGAGATATTGAGACCGGAAATGGCAGTTTTAACCCACCGCTTGGTACAGAAGGTCAGCTCCAAAGTTCACCGAAATACCACGAGCGGTCTGATCAGAGTGACGCCCTCATCTAAATTCCATCAGTCCAGATCTAGTGTCATTGCGTTCCCAAGATCCCCAATGTTTTATGCTCAACATCGTATCTTAAACATTTCCTTATCATTAAACATCTCGAACAGCGCTTTACAATTTTGATTTACCGCCTCGATAGTAAGTAGAAAGTTTTATTCTAACACCGATTGTATCATTTTTATAGTTTGGCAAACCGTCACATTGGGAATTTGAAACTTGCTTATGCCCAATGCTAAATCTACCCTGATTTGTATTTGTATTTAGCTTTAATTACCAATCATGTAGTGCCTTCTCTCACACCAGCGCGGTGCGGGACCGTCCCGCACCGAACGAAGCTGTTTAGACTATTGAATCATATGGGAGCTTTCACACCAGTGCGGGTTGACCCGGACAGACCTAAACCTCTGTCCGAGTTGAAAAATCACCCGCACGAACCTAAACTTCCAATGCGGGACGAAACCGTATGAATCGTTTTTAGATCATGGGCTCTTATGTACGCTTTCACACTTGCGCGGGACGGGCTGGTTTCGCCCGCACATAAATCAGTATTTTCGACAGTCTTCGTCTATCAGTGGTTGAGTGTGGTTGATTTTGTAGCAATCCTGTTAACTTAATAGGGAAGTTTGTTGTTTTTGTTAGGGAGGTTGGAACATTTTTAGAGCCGGTTAGTTTGGACAAGCTGTTTATTTTGGTTTAGTTTGAAGGTCAGTGTGTAGGACGAGACCCCCACTGCAGCAAACCATCTTTCATTTGTATGTTTACCCCACAGCTGTCACCATAACTTTTAACAATACAACGAATTGACATTTTTACACACACGGCATCGATCCAATTAGGTTATTTAGCAAGGGGGCACTGTATTTTATTTCCGGAAACAACAAGTAGCATAACCACCTTTCTTTTATTTATTTAAATGGAATTCATCCAAAAATCACAAAGTTTCAGCCTGGAAACACCCGGGTACAAGCAGCTAGTGTGAAAGGGCCTTGCGGGTCGTCCCGCATCGACCGCTGGTGTGAAATAAGCCTAATTAGACAGAACATTATTTGCAGGTTGAAACACGTAGATTATCATACAATACCATGGACATAATATGCAAAATATGATTATCATATAGAGAATAACGTGCGCTTCATGGAACCATAGAATAAATGAGAAAATCGACCTTAATATTGGCTATGGATAAATAGTTAACTCTGCAATAATCAGAATCCCATGATTTAGCGATTTTAGACACCTTTTGCCACTCTCTTCTCCTGTCATGAAATTTTAATACCATAATATTTTGAAACCCTGAAATTTTGCTCTAAATGCTGCGATGTAAGAGCCTACAGCTTATAATGAGGAATGTGGTCTTGGCTATGATCGCACATTCATATCTCTTGTTTGGTTGGTCTGGTGCACCTAGGAAACGACCATCCATTAAGCCCACTTTGGTTTGTTAGAAATCTGATTATCGGCATTAGAGGGTTCCAAGGGGTTCAGTAGAAGATAGAATGGCAAGATCAAGGGTTGTGCACAGTGGATCAGCCCTCAGGATTATAACAATTATCCACCCGGTCTCTCTATACATCCATTGTGCATCAATCTTTAAGTCTGCATTTATCATCCGTGCTCTTTTTAATTTGTTTCATAACTATCTTAATTTATAATTTTTCTTAGGCAACAAATGTATACGTTTAAAATAAAGAAGCACAGTATTAGCATATATAATTAAATAAATTTTAGTAATTATTGATATTTAGAATGTTATTCAAGTAATTAAATCAATATAACAAGTAAACTCGCGATCCGAACATTGAA